AAAATAATGTACCTTTAGTCTGGGGTTAGGGGTTAGGCGATTCTCTGTTTCCTGTGATTCGTAAAACTTGGATGGTTGAGCAAGGATGTGATGATATGTTGACCGTTTCTTTTGTTTCTTTCCCCTGAAACACAAAACAAAATAATACTCTATTTTCGAATTCTAAGCGAACAACCGCTGTTTTATTTGACAGCATGAGATTCTCTTACGCAATGAGAACTTACCAAACACAAAGAAAGCAGTCAGTCTCAACTCGGGGAAAATGCAAATTTTTAAGACTATTGTAAAAACGAAATTTTCTCGTGCTCCCGCTTTTGTGTTTCGTCAGGTCTTTGCGGAAGAGAATCTGTAGTCAAATAAAGCAGCGGTTTTTCGCTATCAATTCGAAACTGGAGTATTCAGCACCGCTCAACTGAGTAAGCTCTCTTTAGGTAGTTTTCTCCAAGTTTGACTGGAGATCATTCATATTCCGTTTTTTTATTTTAATTGCCCAGGAATGTCTTATCAGCTCTGTGAAGGATTGTATGGTAACAATTGATTTGAGTGCAATTGCTCGGATTCATTGCCAACATTCACACTCATTTTACCAAAGTCGACTCTGACCTTCTCAAGAAACTACCAGCCTTAACATCGATCTCGAATCCTATATATACTCAACAATTTAGAATTTTTTTCATTTTCCCATAAAGTGCATCAACGTTTATTTATAGAGAGCTCTACCAGGTGCACTACCCGTGCTTTCTCATGCTCCCTTTCGGTCTCAACTTTGATGATGAAACCTTTGGAAGCAGCGGCTACGTTGTTTGATAAGTGTATGTATAATATTTGTGGGACTTCTTCCTGTTTTTAAGCTGCTTTCCAATTAATCACCGACGAGGATGCGCCATTGATATTAGGCAAAACTGCAATCCATAATCAACAAGGGATCATTACTCTTATCATATCATGGGGTCTTTGACGATTCTTCATGATATGGAAAAATTCAGTGTTATTAAATCATTATNTATTTAAAATAAAAGGCATTTCATCGAGCAGATGAATGAGCTGATGAAATGAGCATGTAACAATATGGCGACGCACATTTTACTTAAAATAAACCCTAATCATTCCATTTTCTTACCTTTTTTGGTTCCTTAACTTTTATAAAGCATTCAAATATTAATTTCAACTAAATTTAGCTCTTCCCCTGTATAAAACATTGAAAAAAATCATCTATTTTCGAAGCACTTCAACGTTTGACTCTTCTTGCACGTGCAGAAGGTGTAAACTGGTCACGTGATAGGAGGGACTGGGCACTAGTACCACGCGAGGATATTGCATATGTAAAGTTTCAGCGCGCGTGTAAAATGACTTCGACATTTTGTCAAAGTGTCGTCTTCAGTGCAGATCTATTATGTATGTAAGTACTTAAAATTTGCGTCAAAGACTGTGGTATCGGTTTGGGTTTAACTGGTCTTGGGGTTGGCATTAGGGCTTGGGGCTAGCTGCCACTAGGGTTAGAGTTGGTTAGAGCTATTAGGGTTATTGCAATGGTGACTAACCCTAATGTCAGTTAACCCCAAACCCTAACGCTAACCCTAACTACAATCACAAAAGTTTTGAGCTAACCCTAACCCCATATACTAACCCCATACCCTAGCACAAGCCCTATTTTTAAGAAAGTTTCTTAAAAATTGCGATTAGTGTTAGTAATTATGACGACACCGTTATGACGATACGTTCAGTGACGTACTCACAATTATCTTTGATAAGAGCTTGATTGGATAATTATGATAATTTATGCACATAATTTATATTACTTGATGTGATTTTTTAGACATTGGGGAGGGGAAGGAGGATACATTCAGTATCATATATCAGGGAGGGAGGGGAGGGGGGACACCAAATCAGAAAGAGATTTGTTTAAAATATTGGTCAAGTTTTTATCAAAACAAAATAAATGATATGATTCATGTATTTCACTTTTCTTTATTAACAATATAACTAAACAATATACACAATTACAACTACACAATTGACCCAAAAAATGAATATCATAATTCCAATATATATTCACATTTTATTAGCTCAGAACTAATCTCGTAACAAATAAGTGCAGCTTATTACATACCACTTACATCACGATTCAGTTTGAGGGTGAATGTTGGTCCGCTTCCATTTACACCAAGTTGAGTTGCTTTTTGCATCAATAAAAACATATTGAGTAAGTATTATATAGTACTATAAGCATATTGCGAGCAACATGCATTTGCTATACGGGTATGTGCCGCTCGAAAGGGTCCCTTTTTCGGAGCTCCAAGTCTGGGATAGGGTATCATTTTTTGCCCATTTGGATAGGGTAGTCATTTTGTCTGGGATAGGGTAGTAGTTTTGTCCGGAATAAGGTTAGTTTTTTGACTAGGATAGGGTATAGTCTTATTGTCTTGGGTAGTGTGGAGTTTTACCTGTGATCGCATCTGCTAGGCCACGCTTTCAGCCATAAAATAATGTACCTTTAGTCTGGTTTTAGGGGTGAGGCGATGCTCTGTTTCCTGTGATGCGCTAAACTTGGATGGTAGAGATGTGATGGGAGAGATGTGGCACAAGGGATCATTACTCTTATCATATCATGGGGTCTTTGACGATTCTTCATGATATGGAAAAATTCAGTGTTATTAAATCATTATATATTAATAATCTTTAAAAAATAGAGCAAATAAGACGAAAAACATGCATCAGCTTGCTATCAGCT